AGCGGCTGGAGCAGATGGAGAAGCGCATGGCCGAAATGGCCTCGCCCGCAGCCTCTTCCGGGGCCGGCCAAGCCCAGCAGAGGGGGGAGAAATCTCCCGGCCAGGTAAGAATTGGGCTGGGGTCCGGCTCGGGGTCCGGGGTCCTCGGCGGCTGTGTCTCCGGCTGGGGCCAGCCGTCCTCTCCAGAACAAGCTTCCTTTTCTGGACGGCGCCCAGTCTTTCCTGTAGAAGGTGATGTGTTGGTTGGCTGCATTCGCATGAGGCCTTTTCTCCAAGGAGCTGAGAGGGGGATACCGGGGGGGGGGCTCTTTCCCCCCACCCCCCCACTTCGTCCTCACAGCAGCTTTGCGTGGTTGGCCAGTTGGAGGGACCAGCCGAAGCCCACACACACACACACACACACACACACACACACACACACACACACACACGGCCCTCCTCCGTGTTGTCCTGGAGGGGGGAGGGAGCTGCTCCTGCTTCCCCACCCCCACCCCAATGGAGCTGGCCTTCCGCTCTGTCTTAGTCTTTTGTGACCCACCCTGGCTTGGGGCTTCGCCTCTGGCGTGGGAAAGGTGGGTGCTTGTGAGCCCTTTTTCCAGACATCCTCCGTGGAAGTGCGCTTTGGTGAGGCCTTGAGACATCTCCGTGGTCCTCTTCCGTGGACTCCCCCTCCCCTCCTTAGCCTTTTGGTATTTTCTTGCAAAAGGTGGCATCTCTTGCTGCTCCTTCTGCCTTGCGTCTCCTTTTCTTCTTTTTTGTTTCATATCCTCCTTTAAATGACAGTTTTATTTGTGTGTGTGTGTGGGGGGGGAACACCGCCTGCCTCTCCTGCAGCAGAAGCAGCAAAAAAAGAAAAAAGAAATCAGGGCTTTAAAAAAAAAAACAGAAAAAACCACAAGTTCTGTTTGCCCAAAGCTTTGGCGAAGAAAGTGGAGCCCGTTTTCCGAGAGGCACCAGGAGAGGTGGCTGTGGATTTTTGCAGTTGGAAAATGGATTCGCCTTTAAAGTGCCGCAGAAGGAGCTTTGTAGCTGCTCTTCAAGGGGCTGTGAGTCTCAGTGGTTTCAGCAGATATAAAACCAAAAAAGCTTGCGCTCTTAAAGGCTGACGGATGTATTTCAGTTTGCCTGAGGAGGTTAAGGTGCAGCCGTGTTTGCAGGGGGGGGGGCTGGGCCAAACAGAGATCTTTGTCCCTTCCAGCTGAAAAGGCACCCAAAGAAGAGGGTTTCAGCGGCTACTGTGAGAATTTTAAAATTGGCTGAGGAAACAGAAGCTTTGGCTGGTGACTCAGAACAGTCTTTTTTTTGAGGCAAAGGTCTTTGGAAGGCAGAAGAGAGAAAGCCTTTCCAGGAACAAACTGGAGATAATTGAACAGGATGGGGCAGGAACTCTGGTGGAGGGGGGG